TGTGTGTGTGTGTGTGTGTGTGTGTGTGTGTGTGTGTGTGTGTGTGTTTGTGTTTGTGTTTGTTTGTGTATGGAAAGCTCCCAATTCTCTATTTAAACCATAGTACTCAAACTGATATTTGATCAGAGCACCTTGTGCAAAATGCAACGCAATTATTATGTCTTATGGTTAACACACCCTCTCCTCTCTCTCTCTCTCTCTCTCTCTACCTCTCTCTTTACTCTCTCCGTTTTCGTAGACAACGCCTGATGTACCGTTTCTAAAACATCACCACTCACCACACCATCGATTTCTTTCACATTTTTTTCTCGAATAATTTGAAATTAAAAGAAATAAATAAATAAGTAAAAAAAGAAAGCTCTTTGTCATCACTAGCACACCTTTGTATATATCACACCATTCACGCTTTCTTCTTCTTTACTACATTATATGTATGCTTACATACGTTATGTTGTCTTGCCTTTATGCCAGCAAATCATAAACTTTTCTCTCAATATTTTTATATTTTAGTTTAATTTTTTTTAATTTAATCTTCAACTTTAAACGAACCAAGGAAACACTAGTTTAAGCGAAATGTGTATAAATGAACTTTCAGTCTAATTTACATTTGCAAACAACAAAACCTACTTGATTCTATCTGCCGTGAACAGATTGATTGTTAGGAAAAAATGTAATAAGAATAACCTGGACAATAATGTCTAGTGTTTATCGACTATGACCGCTACGTATCCCAACAACTGCCATCGTATTGTAATGAAACATCAAATCTAATAAGGTAGTTTTTTTTAAAGTCAATTTTAAGAAAAAAAAAAAATATATGCAAACCTAAGTAATATGCAAAGCTCTGTTAAAGGATTGAAGGATGCATTTAATTACTAAATCATATAGGCAGGCACATCTGTTGACAACCTCAATATTGTTTTTGTTAAAGAAAATAATAAACTTAATCTTAAATGTATTCTTATTACACCCAACCCACTAAGATGAATTCAAAAATCATCTAAATCGAGTCCTGCTTCCACTTTCCCACATTGAAAATTGTCAAATTATTCATCCGAAAGTTTAAAAATTCGAATTTCGTTCTCTCTTAATAA